CTAGCTTTGAAAAATCCCAAGTAGTGAGACACCTATGGGGTTAAGACTCTCAGTAATAGGATTCCTTGGTTGTGTGTGTCTGTGTTTGTGTGATATTGAAGAGAGTTGCCTTGGATGGAGTGGATACTTCACAGAAAGGAAAGGAGAACAACTGCCCCCATTAAAATTCATGCAAAAAAAAATAATGAAAAGGAATGCTTTCTCTATGGTCACTAAAAATGGGTGAAAATATATTAGCAAAAAATGCTGACTGAACATCAGCAAGACAAGGACAAGTGGGCTCCTGAATTCTAACTCCTTTTCATGACATCAAGATGGTTAGTAGGGATGGTCTGTACTGTACTATACTGTACTGTAGGGATGGTCCCCTAGAGTGGTTGGTATCTGTTGCGGGATCTACCTTCTACTACTGGATATATCAGGGGAGAGTATCCTTGCAACACTACCCTGCTCCTGATCCATTCTGGTTCCTGGCAAACTGCACTGAGATACACCACCCAGAATCTCCATGGAGCTGACTGTCAACAGTAATTCTGGGACCTGAACTGGGCAAGTCAAGCAGGACAGCTTCTTTCTTCAGAAGTTTCCCTGTCATTGGGAGAACTTGGGATCAATGCTGTAGAACCTGGTTAGCCATCACTCAATCCTTGCACTAACAACACAGGTGATGGCCTCCTGAACTGAAGATGTACATGGCCTAAGCTCTTCCTACACTGGTCTTCCTCTACCTGTTTTCTGTGACCGTGATTATCATTCTGGAGTTGTCACCCCATATCTACTTCTCATCAACATCTGGGCCTTCCGTAGCAAAGTCTGGACTCAACTTCTGGGTTGAAAGGGAATGCGTTGCTGCCAATGAAAGATGATATTTATAAGCCACGCACTGAATTGGAAGAGGAGGAACAGGACAAAGAGGTAGACAGAAAGTAAGGGTTAACTTGCTCAAGACTGATCCCTCCAGGCTAGCCTTTCAGAAAAGAGACTGGCCTTCTGCAAGGCTCCACAGAAACCAGCTAGCCTCAGTGCTAAATCCATTAATCTGGTCAAAAGCAAGGCTTGGACTCAGATCCTAAATCACCGGAATTGGGAAAAGGAAAAAAGTGTTGGCACTTGCTCAACAATGAATAACGATGTAGTCAACCTGGTCCAAGTTTGCTATCCCTACCCCAATCCTGATAGAATCACAACTACAAGACTTGGACCCCAGTATCCTGACCATGTCAGGGAAGAGGCTAGTGTTGGGTCCATCCACTAATGATGACCTAGCAGAAGGGTACTGAAGTTATGGCTCTGCCATGTTACCATGCCATTGTTGTCCTGGCCCCAGATCATCCCAGGGGAGGAGCCAGTGTTTCCCTAATCATGTTTCTTAAGAAAGCCTCTCTCCCAGCATCTGACATCTGGCCCTGCTAGAACTCTGTACGCTGCACTAGAATGAATGGGCACATCCCTTACTAACCTAGTGTCTGAGAGCTTTCTCTGATGCTCCACAGAGGGGGTGTGAATGCCGTTTGTCCATTTGTCCTTATCAATGGGTCACAATTCTGAAAGAAGATACAACCACTGATTTGCTACAAGCACTTGTCAGTACATGACGACTCATGTCTGATACCCCAGCTCTAGTCTGAAGATACGTGATATGAAGAATGAGACTGCCAGCCCTTTAGTCAATGGAAATCAGGCCACATTTTGTAGTAGGGCCTCATCTTTAACAGCAGTGGGAACTAGAACTTGTGTTCAACTGTGGCCAGGGGGCTCTGGGTGAGGCTCCGGTCACATATGTGCCAGTGGGCTGCACACTGGCCATGACTGCACCCAGGTGCCCAGTCCCTGTGACTGTGGCTTCTGCCCATGTTCATTTGCTCTATAGTTCCCTGAGGGTTCTGGAGCCATGCCCTGGACTACAGCCTGCTTGGTTGGGTCCTGACAACCTGCCCTTTGCCATCTGCCGGCTGGTATCCTGCTTTAACCTGAATGGGCACCCCTGCCCCTGAGCACAGCTGCTGCCTAGCTGTTGCTGTGGGGCCTCCATTTGCTTGTCTGGACCAATCAGCTCAGATTTGCGGAAGCTACACCTCCATCACCTCAGGGGGAGCTCTACAGCCAGGTGAGTCCCCACTGCTCTCTAGTCACATATTCTAAGTAGTCCTAGTTTATCCTCCCCATGAAAATTCTACCCAGATTACAAAAACTGCACAGATGCTTGTCACCATTTGCAAAGCACATCAACACTCAAAGTCAATGTTTAGAATTTTCAGCAACACCAACTCAGTCACTTTATCCATCAGGCAATCAAGGCATGGCTCTTAGGGTCTATGAACTGATTAAGGGCATAGAAAAATATTCTGGCGCTGACAAAGAGTGGCTGCAAAACAAAAAATACAATGTACCTTAAAAATAATTTCATAGCCAAAATATTCTATTTGCTGTGAAGTATGGGTGCATTTTATCATGTTGTAGGGTGGGGCACAAAAATGGGAGCAAGCCAAGGGCCTGTGAATGTAATCTCACAGCCGCACCACCCTCACATTTCCCTAACTCAGCCGTCCTCAGTCGCTGAAATGATATGGGCAACCATGGTACCTGGTTGTTGAGCAAACGCATAGATACATGAATAAAGAAAGGAAGCAATGAATAAATTCTCCAACAGAAATGCATTCAAAGGTTTAAAAAAATCAGGAGGGAAGCTAGAAGTTGTTGAATTGGTACTGAGTTTCAGTTTTGCAAGATGAAAACATTCTGAAGACAGATTGTGCAACAATGTGAATACACTTTACTACTGGACTGTATTCTTCTATGTTCAGATGGCAAATTTTGTTAGGCATTTTTTTGGCAATAATTTTTTTTTTGACTCAAAGTAAATCCTAAAAAAATCACAATTAAACTTTATACAAAAATTCAGAATACACCTATGATAACTATTTGAATCCCGCTGGCCTACTCTTACATTTTCATCAATGTAGCCCTGACTTCTACAGCCTTATTTTCATAAAGTATTTCTTATTCCTTTTGTGACTTCTTTTTGTGGACCAGGAATGGGCAGTTTAATTATCTGATTTGTTACTGCAGGTGATGGAAAATTATTGCTCTAATTACAGAAATGAAATGAAACAAAAAACAATTTTTATTCTATTCAATGGGGGGAATTTCCTAGAGTAGAATAAAAAATGTACTAAATTATATTCTAATATATAATTTTCATAATTAGCACATCATGAAAGTGAAGCAATCTTTTGTTTGCACAGAGAAGTGACTATAGGCTCTGAAGCTAGCTGACTAGTAAATACTAGCTTCACTATTAAGCAGCTTAATCTCTTTGTGCAGTTTTCTCATCTGCAAGGTGAAGATAATAATTTTTAAAAGTTTAAAAAAGTATCTACCTCACTTATGAAATGAGAATATTTTTTAAAACCTTAAGCAAGAATTTTACCTTACTTAAGAATTTATCCCATTTTTAAAAAGACCTACTTATTTGGGAGGAAGTGAGAAAGAGAGAGTGTGAGCATGAGTAGGAGGGGCAGAGGGAGAGAGAACTCAAGCAGACTCCACGCTGAGCACAGAGCTGGACATGGGGCTCAATCTCACAACACTGAAATCACCACCTGAGCTGAAACCAAGAGTTGGATGCTTAACCAACTGTGCCACCCAGATGCCCAAGAATTTATCCCACTTTTACAAATCGAAAGACAAAACTCTACTTTTAACAATAGGCTAAATGTTTTAGCAAATAACTTGTCAAATAATGGTAATAGTATCCTTTCCTTACCATGAATATATAGAAGCTTAGGCCCAAACTCTGAATGTGGCTGTGTCCCTATTTTACTTTTCCACTCTGAGTTCTTACCACTGCTCAGAAACACATTTTCTGCTTTAAATAGGTTGCTCCTCCTACTAGTTCCTCTAACTATGCTTTAGTGTTTATGCATTAGTAGTTCCCTCTTACAGATTATGTTCTTGTTTCTTCACCTGCCTAAAGTCTACCCATCTTCCAAGTCCCTCATCAGTCTCTACTGATTCCATTACGCCTTCCTTGAATCTAGTCTGTATGTTTTCTCACTTCTCTGAATTTCAGGCCATTCCTGAAAATGGCCCTCAAGATGGCGCCAGAACCAACCATTTTCCACTTCCTAGCACCTATCCTGTTGTAGATTACAAATGCGTAATTTCCTGAAGCACAAAAACCTTTTTTTCTTAAACCTTTCTCAAAGTCCTATAAAGTCCTAGCCACAAGTTAATAAATATTTTCTAATTTAACTGTTTGGTCAAAGTAAAAATTTTCTGGAAAATGAGACCGCTTTTTCAGGAAAGAAATAGCATTATTCACACTATCTTTTCATGTATTTTCTTTGCATATTAGCTGCCCACCATTCCTTCCAAAAATAATTTTAACTCTTTAAGTTTTTATTTGCATTCTTTAGTAAACTACTATACAAAATACGTTTTTGACGCTCCTTGTTGTTGTTTTAGACTTTGGCTTGTCTTAAGATAACATATTATGTATGAAGTTACTTTTAAAGGACATTCCTTCAGAAATTGTTATAAAATGACGATGGGGTGATACCTAAATTATAGAGATATTTTTGGTTCCTTATGTAGGCGACATAGGGGCACCAGGAAAATCATGGAGTATACTTTCCTTTTTTCTCATTTTCATATATGAGAAATCAAGTTAAAATGAACAGAGGGCTGTAAGAAAGAAAAAAAAAATTAAAATTGTACAGCATGAGGCACTGACCCATATGCATGGATGGGTACAAGTGGATGCTTTTTCTTTGTGATAATGTTGCTGGGAACTCCAGCCTGAGCACTTGGGTGGATATATGACTGCAAGGAAACTTAATGGTGAGTCCGTAAGTCACACACCTTTGCTTTTTAATCTCAATAACTTACATTCTTATACTAATGCCTCAGGTCTTTTTTTCAATCCCCACATGCTTTCTGGTTGCACAGACTCTGAATCCTCCAGAGCAAGCAGGATAGCCTGATAAATGACCGCTCACCGTCTTCCTCGAAGAGAAGTCCCATGTGCGCATGCGCCTCGGCTTCTTTCTTCCCACCGTCAATTTTGATCAGTTGAGCAATCTTAAAACATCGTTCGTAGAAGTGGTTCCTTACCCATTTGTCTTCAGAATTATTGAAGTAACAGGCCAGTGCATACAAGTTATTATAGACACCTTCAAAGTATTCTTCAAAAAGAAACAAACTGCATTAGAAAAATGTCTCACAGCTGTCCCTTCAAATGGCAAACATATTGACATTTTTAATTTTTCCTTAAAAACATGTTTAACTATTTTTAAAAATGGAAATGCAAACTTCAGTTACTGTATTTTAACCACAAAAATACTTAATGTTAAAGGATGTGCACACAAAAAAAGCAACAAAAATCTTTTTGAAAACGTAGAACATGTCAGAAATTGACATACTCTTTGGTTTGAACACTGGACTTTATGTAAGACCCAAGTCAGGATAATATGTACTAGAGCTATTCTCAGTTCTTGTGGAAGAAATGAGTATGTGTTATCATCAAGTACTTTTCCCATCAAAAATTTGAAGAGTATTCAGAGATTCAAGAGAAAGCAATGTTCCTAACCATGGCAAAAAAAAAAAAAAAAAAAGTTAATGAAAAAGCAGTTAGGATATGAAAATAGAAAAGTATTTTTACCCGAAAGGAAAAACAACGATGAGCTTGTCCATACAACAAATAATGATTAGGATGACCATATAAGGTCCATACTTTCTGCAATGTTTCCAGCAATACAAGTTACTAACAATGCTAACAAAGAGTGGACTTTCAGGCTTCTGTTTTCTGAATATCTTTTTCTGCTGAAAATGCATTAATATTAGTCATCCTTCTCACTCAGTCAGTTACTAGTTTATTAGTTGTTAGTTTTTAAACCCTCCCTTTTTTCCTAAAGTGACACCTGACCTATTTGTACACAAAAGTGTATTAATAAATTGTGAATCAGTCTTATAAACCCCATTGCAATCAATCATAAGCTTGGACAAAAATGTGTGTGTTAATAAATTGTGCCTCAGCCCTGTAAACTCTACTCTATTGGTGAATATGAACAAATTCATAATCTTCATGTCTTTTTGCATCTGTGCTTAAAGCACAGTTGTAGATATGTGGTAACCTCTGATTATCCTTCCATGGAGTTTTTATAACAATCATTATCTATTAGAATTTTTTAACTATCACTATCTATTAGAATTCTAATTATTCACTACAATCAGAAAAGTCAACCCAAATATTCCTGAAAGGATTGTAATTATGAAAAATATTTATACATTGCCCACTAGTATTCCTGTAAGATTAAAATCAAAGGGCCCAGAAAAAAGTGAAGCAAGGCTGATTACAACAAAAAGTAATTTTCAAGAACTATACATAAGTCACTCTAATGTTTCAAAAGAAATTCCTAAAATTTATGTCATTCCTTTACATATGATGCTTCATAATTTCATAGGAAATTAAGATTTATCTCAAAGTAAGTGTTATACCTAAACATTAAAGTAAAAAAGAAGAAACAGGTCTCCCTATCTCCCTATTTTTAAATATGTTTTGAAAGAGCTGGGAATTGTGGAGAGCCATTCTGCTTAAGATTACTCAAAATAGGAAAGAGCTTAGGTGAAGAGCAGTAAGTAACCAGAGTTATTTACTTAAAACAAATACTCTCAGAACTGACTTCTCTTATGTTTTATCTTTCCATTGTGAACCTTTTACCTAAGGTGAATGGAGCACTAAAATCCATTTTGTAGTATTTTATATTCTTTGTCATCTTTAGTGATTTGAGAGTTATTATTTTTTAAAGTCTGTGAAGCATTCCATATCTTCCATTTTTTTAAAAAAGTTATATAAAGAGATTCTTTTAAAAAAAGTGCTCCCAAAATAATTTTTCTGATTTTCAGTAACTATACCTTAATAGAAAAAACATTTCCAATAGTTCTTAAAGGTTTTTTTTTAGAACAAGATGTATAAGCCATCAAGATTCCATATTTAAAGCACTTGTCAGCTAAGCAGAAAAAATTAAGTATTTTTCAGAGTATTAAGTATAAAGGAGTATTTTCAAGTTTTGAATCTTTGGACAATCCAAATATATGGGCTATACCCTTTACATTCTAAGCATCCTTATCTCCTTGCTTGTGGACCACTTACTTGAATTGTCAGCAAATATTTACAGGATGAAAATAATTTTTATTGTTGGTTTATTATTTAGATCAGTATTCACTTTGCTATCTAAAAAGGAGATTCTATGATGAAATAAATTTGGAAAATGCAGTTGCTAAGTTCCTTCTTTCAGTGACCATACAATATGTATCAGCATGTTAAAGGCTCTGGTAAGTCCTGCAATAAACCAACCTGCTTAATGTCCATGTTAATTCATCTAGTGTTTCTCAAACTTATTTTACCAGATAATTATTTTTGTTTTGCCTTATATAAAATGTGTAAAGATCTTATGGGACTCTACTTGTATAGAACATACTTGGGGTATCTTAAATAAATGTTATTAGAAAAAAATTGCTGCTTAACCCTTAACAATGATTTAAAGTCAAATGTAAATAATGTTTGAATTATATATTGATTCAGTTGCCCATTACCATTATTGCCATCTCTTCTCTAGCCCCATGGGGCACAAGGCCCTAATCATAATATTACAGATGGTACACCGATGATTTACAACAATGGGTAATATAAAAAAAAATGTTATTAGGGACAAAAAAACCCCACCTTAACAAAGGGAAAATAATCAAAAAAGAAATGACTCACTTACTTAAAATATTTCTTGGCTATAAAACAGCAAGTGATGTTTTGAAGAGTAATTTAAATAACTCTGGGTTTCTGCTCTGTAAGTCGCAAGAGATAGAACTGACCCAAGATGACTATTGTTAGTGCCATAGCTTTGATTAAATGAACTTCATTGTGACCCTAGAGTGATAGTCTTTCCAATGAGAAGCAATGAGAATGCTCAAAGATACACTACTTTAGGAAAATTTTTCTCAGATTCTGTATGTCTCATGACCATATAGGATGGAATCCTGAGACACCGTTAACAAATGTTTATAGTCTAGATTAAGAGTGTGTGGGTGGACACATGTGGGTACAGGCAAGTGCAGGCATGTTTTAAGATTTAGGATTAATTCAAGTTACTAAGAGTGAACATGTCTATCCCATTTTCTGGGATGTTTTTAACACGTATCACAATTTTTCCTCAATAAGGCTCATGTGTTAAATGTGAAAGCAATTATACAAATTTTTTAAAAGGCATATAAATATTCACATGTACTTCAACTGAAGTATTTCCAACGTTTTTTGCAATAATTTTCATTTTATACATTTCAACCAGGCAAAAGCGAGTGCATTTTGAAGGAGATAACCTTACAGAAGAGTTATCCTGAGCAAGAGGTAATTTTATTTCATTTAGCAAATGCAACTTAGTTATAATGAGTATATGATAAAGACACCCAGTAAAGAAATATCTCTTTACTTACACCATGTATATAAAATATTGACTACTATAAAGTTTGGACTTTGTTAACTTTTGGAATCTGAGAAACAGTTTTATTTAAATGTTTAGTTACTTTTTTAAAATAAAAAATTAAAATGTTTTCTACCTTAAGGTGGACTACTTAGCATTTTAGTTTCTTTATAATTACAAAATGTTTTATGACAAGTTTCTCATATTTATGACACTTTGTAACAAGTGATGTATTTGATTCATATTTATGCTACTCCCGTGAAAGCCTCTATTTAAAACACTTAGTGAATACGATAAGTTCAACTTGAAAAAATGAGTAATGGGAAACTTTTATCTTGCTCAATTCTATTTTCAGTGCAAATATCACTTCAGAATTTGGAGCTGAAACTAGAATGTAGGTTTTTTACAATAGCATTTTTTTATTTATAACAGTTAATTTCTTGAGAAATTAGATGTCACATTTCAACATTCTCCAAAGGGTTCTATTTTCAAAGTCAATGCTGCAGTTAAATACTTTTCTTAATACAAATATTCACTTCCTTTCTATACACACACACACACACACACACACACACACACACTCATTCACTTGTTGTTAGGGTTTCTGTATATCTCCTATTTGTAAACCAGGTGACAACCTGATGGGAAACATGTATTAACTCCACCACAGAGGCTGAGAGGATTTTGCTGCTTCTTGAATACTGTTCCATGTCCCCATTAACTTTCCCCACTGTAGCACTGGTTTACAAAAAGTTATGTAATCCTCTATTTTCCCATAGGAAGCCCTGAAATGAAATATAGATATTGTTGGGGCTGAGGTTCTCTTTTTGAGTCCTAAGGTGTTTTCACACAAAAAAACTGAGAAAATAATAATTTAAGCCACCAAATTTATATGCCAACTTCTAGGATTTCCTTTCTCTGATTATATAAAATGACCAATTCCTAATATGTAACTAGGAAAGCCTCACGACAACAATATCAGTATATAATTATAGTAAAAATTAAAATGTTTTCAGTACTTGAAACATTGGCTTTCTGGAAAATTTTTAGATACAAAAAAAAAGGGAATTTATTAGAAGTGATATGATGGAAAATATAAAATTAATAATTTTACTCATAATTGGGAATTCCAGGCTTCTCATGTCTTCTCACTATTCACTAATAAAAATTCTCTGATTGAAATCTATAGGACTTATAGATAAAACCTTCAGATTCCATTATATAAATACTAGGAAATCAGTACAATTTTCAAGTTACAGTTCTCTTTGAAAGTATCTCATCAGTAAAAGTCAGTATTCAGATTATATAGATTTTTAAAACTATGAAAAGATTTGTATTCGATACAAAAGATTTTAACACACTGAAAAATGCTGGAGATGTGATCAGGTGCTACGCATTGTCTTCCTGGCTTGGAATGACATCAGCAGGATGCCCCTGGGTCTGGGCAGCCTTGTGATTCCACGTTCCCTCTCACGTTTTCCATAAAGATGCTTCGATGTCTAGAATGAATGGTGCTCAGGTGCCTTAATGTTTCCAATTCATGCACAAAACACTCTGGAAACTTCCCTCACTGGAACAGACTCACTGTTCTGGTTCCTGCAGCACTGCTGCCCACTGTCCCCCCACTCACCTTTCCTTTCAGCTGCCTCAGCCCTGGTCAGGTAGTGGTAGAAGTGATCCAGCTTATCAGGTTGCTCTTCCAGGGGTCTCTGCAACCACAAAAGGGACCTAACTTTCGCAGTCTCCCGCAGGGCATCCCACTTCTCCATCAGGGCGAAGAGCTCAGTAAAGGACTTATGATAACCATCTCGCAGCATGTCCACACAAATGCTCTTCTTGTATGAGTTCCGGTAACTGGGAGCAAGAAACCGAAAGCTCAGAACATTATTTTAATCCTTTAAATCTGTGTAGTTTTTTCCTTCTCTAAAAATTAAAGGTTGAATCACACTTTTTTTTTCCTGAGTGAAAGCTGAAAACTCTCTTTGCCTCAAACACTTGTAACTGAACGACTTCAGTTTAATGGAAGATGCCAGGAGCTACCCAAATATAGCTATTTTAGTAAAATTACATTATAAATATATTAGCTCCAGAGCTAAACTCCCTTTAATAGGGACAGATAAATGAGCTGACAGCTGTCAGTCCATTCTAGAACAAAATAATAGTGACTGAGTTACTGTTACAAACAACAGAAATACACTGCTCCCAGCTCTGGAGGCTGGAATTTCAAGATCAAAGTGCCAGCTTGCAACTTAGTTACGATGAAGGCCCTCGTCCTCGTTCTTGGCGGGCGTCTTCTCATGGTATCCTCACATAGTGGAAGGGGCTAGGGGTCCCTCTGGAGACTGTTTTTTTATAAGGCACTAATCCCATTCATGAGGGCTCTGCCCTCAAGACCTAAGCACCTCCCAAAGACCTCAATTACTAGCACTATCACCTTTGGGAGTTAGGATTTCAACATATGAATTTAGGGGAATACATTTAGACCATAGCAATTACAATATCCAAAAGTACTTGATAGAGTAGCCTCCCAGTAAAACAAAACAAAAACCCAATATGCTAAGCAAAAATTAAACATGCCATTCAATATAAAAAATGCACTCTATATTAAGTGGCTTCACTGTATGTTATGGAAGTTCATTCATTCATTCATTCATACTGGATGTTTGGTTAGAAAATGTTTATTAAAATCTATTACTAAGAATATTTGAAATATTTTCAGTTAGGATTAAGTTAATGATTTGTTAATAATTCACTTCTAATTTAGCAATAGATCATATGCAAAGAGAGAAAGTGACAAAGGAATATTTCATTTAATTATTCAACGAATAACTATTAAATTTTCCAAGTGGAAGGCACTGTACTAGGCTGAATGGGTTCATTCTCATTGTGAAGTTTGTATTCCAGTGGAAGAACACAACCCACAAGTAAGTAAGCAAATAATAAATAATTTTAGATGATGGAAAGTACTATACAGGAAATAAAGAGGGTGATGGGATAACAGCTGTGTGGTGGCTATTATTCTACTTAATGAGCAATCAGAGGCCAAACCATAGAACTACTAATTATATTACACTTTTTTTTTGTAAAAATCAGGGGACAATTAAGTATTTAAAACTGACATAATGTGATACTACGAGCAATAAAAATTTCAGTGTGGAGTGGCAACAGCCTAGAATTAGTCAGGATACTCAAGGTTAAGCCCAGTTCTACCTAAGCTCCTTGGGCCTCATTTCATCTCATTTGTAAAATGTGCATAGCAATTTATGCTCTACCTATATCACAGGATTCTTCTAAGAACAAAATTAAATTATGTATATGAAAATGCTCTGAGAAATGTAAAGTCCTGCACTACTGGTTCCCAGCTGCTGGCTCTGCAATAGACTCATCTATAGAATTAAAAAACCAAACAAATAAACAAAACAAAAATGCCCAGATTCTACCCACCAAGAATTTCTTACTCTGTGGATCAGCTTAGGTATGAAATGAAGCACATAAAGAGGAGTGATGGGAGAGAAGTTTTAAAAGAAAAGATAGGACCGCAAAGCCCTGGTAAGAAGTCTGGGCTCCAAGCTAGGAGTAAGGTAGAGGTAGAACCATTGAAGGGTCTGAGTTAGGGAAATAACTGCATGAGACTGCAGCTTGGAAAAATCATCTGGAAGGAATGTCGGAGCTGAATTGTTACCCTCCCCCATCCAGCAGCCAGATGCATAGCACCTATTATTACAGGGCGCATCCATAAAGAGCAGAAGTAAACCACATTCCTAGGGAAAAGGTCAAAAGCCACCATCTTGTATGAGACCAAAAACATATGATATGGGGAAAAGAAGTAAGAGCATTTTGTTTGTTTCTACCCTCCAGTCAAGATAAAGGAGGAGAGTACGAAGGAAGAGCAGTGAGAGATGCTGCAAAGGCCATGTCCTCTTGTTCCCCTGCTTTCTACCTGCCCCTACACAAGTCACAGCAGAAGTCACCGTACAGGGTTTCTCAGTAAAAGAGGACCAGAACCAGCCACTATAATTTTCCATAGCTGCTGAAGGTATGGGGGAAATGCCATAACAGTCTATGGGCTCCATGTATGACACAAAAGTTAATGGAAAGAGAGGGCTGGTATATCTGTCATAATGTCACTGGACACAACAAGGGAGTGTGTGCTAACATGCTCTTATATGGGTTGTCCACTGGGAATTGAAGGACACAGCTGTTAACTCTGAGAATAAGAAGCATCAGGGAACTATCAAAGGAGTCAGGTCAATATATTTCCAGATCTGACAGAGAAGAATGAATTGAGAGCATCAGAGGTGGACACCTGTACAGAACCCCATAGGTTTAGAATGCATTCAACTACAAGTAAGAGAACTTGTTTCTTAGTGCCTTTAAAACTAGAGGTTTCCACTTATCACAGCACAAGATGCGTAAAAGTATGTATCTACTGGCCTTGGTTCAGTGGTCTGGCAAGTTCAGTGCATCTGGGATTACCTTAATCTTTCCCTCATGCTCGTCCCCTGCTGGTCACTGGAGGGCTGCTATAGCTTCAGATATTGTGCCCATCTTCAAGGCAAAAAGAAAGGGGAAGTTGGTGGCACCAGATGTGTCTTTCCTTTCTAATGGGAAAAACAAAAGCATTCCTATAACTGTTAGTAGATTCTCACTTTGGTGTCATTGGCCAGAACTTGTCACATGGCCACTCCTTGCTGCAAAGAGACTGGGAAAAGCAAATACCCTGCCTGTCCTTGGACACATTTCTCTCTCAAGCAAAACTGGAGTTATGTTAGCCAAGAAGAATGGAGAAATGAGATACCAGATAGGCACATTCAGTCCTATAACAAGGTCCTAGATTAAGATCTGAAAGTAAATACTGACAAACCCTCAGCCCTGGAGTCGCCAGACAAAACTGGGTAGGATGCCCAGTTAAATTTGAATATCAGATAAACAATGAATAATTTTTTTTTAGTATTAGGATGCTCCAAATATTGCATAGGGCACATTTATATTAAAGAAGTTTATTGTTTTCTGAAACTCAAATTGAAGTGTATATCCTATATTTTTATTTGCTAAATCTGGCAACTCTCCTCCCCTCTACCTTGCACCAGCACTTGTTTGTTTCTATATTAAGAAAATAGGGTGAGAGGAAGAGGCATCAGAATCCTGAATAACCTGAGAAATCACTGAATTGGACTCACATTACCTGAGAGGGACAAGATTAGATTTTTACACTAGGGAGAATCAAAGCTAAGGGCCAGGAATTAAAATTAAGTTATAAAAAAATAAAGGCTTTCAATTTGGCATCCTTGAGCTTGTGAATCTGAAATTTACATCTGATCCTAGTGAAGGGTCAGGAAGAGAGTAGAACTGGGAACCGAAGCAGGGAGAAGAGATGGTGGTTCTGGAAAGGACAGGCCACAGATGCTGAACCAAAGGAAAGGTGGAGGGAATGGACAGAAGTAGGGAGGATTCAATACATATTTAGGAGATAAAAATATCAATTCCATAGTGACTGAGTGGGTGTTGGGTGTGGAGGGAAGGGAAGACCTAGGGTGACAACCAGGTTTTGAGGTCAGATCATAGGTAATTGGTAATTTAACAAGTTAAAGAGGGGAATACAAAAGGATGAACAGCTTTGTGTAAAGATAATGAGTTTGGTTTAGACAACTTGAGTGTGAGGAGGCTCAAGGGATATCTAAGTGGTACTTCCAAAGCAGGGGCAGGTTGTGGGAGAATATAGGAGATCTGAGACTGAGGGGCTGAAAACCCAGCCCTGTTTCAAACAAATTTCAAACAACACCCTGTTTCAAACAAAATCCAGCCGTTTCAAACAAACACTGTCATCTTTGTAAGATTATGCTTTTGAAGAAAAGAAAATTATAAATAAGTAAAAATGAGAACATTGACTTTAAACAATAAACACAAGCCAGGAGGCCATCTATGTTCTAATCTCTTATCTCTAATCTCAACAGGAATGCAGAAAATCATTCCTTATTTCCTTCACCTAAAAGGTGAAGGTGTTTCGGTTGGATTTGGTCCACCCAACATCTTGTTCCACTTCCACAGGGAGCACTCCAGAACACTTGAGAAATGACCATTCTCACACTGTGGGTCATCTTGGTGGGATTTGATTTTAAAGACTCTCTAACCAAGGGGTGGATCCACAGTGACCCGAATTAAGGCAACAGGTTCCTCTCCCATAATTTTGAATCTTGAGGCAAGAAACACAATGAAGGTTTAGAAGGTTGTTGGAGCTCAGTCATCTTGGGAGTGACATCCTGGGAAACGTCTCAAGTAGTTCTTGCTACCAACATCCTATCAAGGGTCTCAGGTCTTGTCCTTTTCATATGAACTGGGTTCTCCCTAAATTCAGCTCACTACCCAATATCCTTCCAAAAAATGGTTTCTACTTTATTAGTCAGAATCAGTGTCTGCTGCCTGTGACCGAAGTACAGAATGGATTCAGAAGAGACTGTATTAAAATGGTTTCCAAGACATCTTTCAGCCTCAGAACATCCATGATATATAACTGGTATCAATCTTTTAAAATTTCTTGTACATTTTTAAAAAAGACCATTCTTTGAGTAAGAGATTTCAAATAGAGATGTATTTTAAAATGCATAAATAGCTATGCTGATGTCCTCTTGATTTTCTATACACATTCATGTGTGCACACACATGCATGTATATAGGCATGTCCTTGTTTAAGCCTCATTACTAATCTGAAAGCAAGAGCAATTAGTGATTTACTAAATAAGTTCCTATTTCAATCTTTGTAGTTAGTGCAAATTATTTCTTTTAATCAAAATAATTTTCTTTTATTAAAATGAACTGACTATCTGAAAAAAACCTTATCAAGTCCCTCCATTACA